CCAGAGTTCTTGAACACGTGACATTGCGAGTGCCAACCACCAGGTCCCTGGTCCAAGGACCAGTGAGTTTAGCAAGGCTGTGGTCAGAGAGCCCCGAGCCCACCAGAGGCACATCTCACTGTGGTCCTCATCGCAGCTAACACTGTAGTCCCAGGGTATTGATGGAGCATTCGGTTTTGCAGGATTCTGTTATTCAGCTATTGAATTCTGTAGGGTTATATTGTGCTAATAAGAACTTAATTCTTCTGCAGGCATGGCAGTGCACACTGGTAATCCTACCACACGTGGAGGTTAAGCCATAAGGATAGCAATTTCAAACCCACTCTGGGTCACTCAGTGAGGTCTTCTAGTCTAATAAAACACAGAGGGCTTGGCCTGTCATTCAGTGTGAAGGCTATGGGCTCAGTTTTCAGTACTGGGGGGGGGAGTTCTGCTTAAAAATCACAGAAAATCCTTGAGCGATAAAGCAGGGAGACCTTGCCCAAGCATCTTGACCAGAGCACCCATGGTGGCCTTCTCTTAGAACTCAGTAACTGCGCAGGGCCAAGGACAGGGACCACTGCTTGCTCTTCCATTTGTGGCCTTAAAGCCAGCACGAGCCAAGCTCGCTCCTTACTCTTTCCACTTGTTGCTTGAGGCCAGCACTTCCCGCAGGGGACTGCTCCTCCAAGGTGCAAAATCGTTTGTTTGGGGAGTGAGTTCCTACAGGGTACTTGCCGTGTGTGTTTATGGGGCTCTTGCTGTGTGCTGCACCGTTTGAGGCCCGGAGCACATGGCTGTGTCCTGCTATCCCAAGTCCAGAGAGTGGGCAGAGGCCAGCAGGTGGATGGGCACACCTATCTGAGGCTGGTGCTGAGTGCAATGAAAGTATTAATGTGGGCCAAGGAGAAGAGAGACCGTGGGGCCAGGGTGCTTCAGATGTGCAGGGCTCTGAGGGAGAGGCCCAGGACCCTCCAGTCCCGTGGCTGGGCAGGGACATCAGAGGGAATGTGTGCATTGGCTGTTTCAATTCTCCCCTTCGTTATCTACAGCAAATCAAAAGAACCCATGCACATGCTGAAGGAGATAAAGCACATTGCGCCTGAATTTCAGACTCCATCATAGCCATCCTCTCTCGTCACGCAGAGGGACTCCTTCTGCACTTAGGCCATGAGCTGACGTTTCAGGCAAATGTTTGTGGTAGTAAACACGTGCTTCACCAGCCAACAGGGATGCCCACGGCAGTCCCCGCAGAGGGCTCTCATGAGAAATCGCTGTGTGCAGTGACACGAGGAGTACGTCTGGCCTTGTTATGATTCTTAACTTGGTGGATATTTAAAAATAGAAGCGCTGGTGCTGAGCTGTGTCCCACAAGCTTGACGTAACCGAGGTACGATGAAGACTTTGAGCACACCGAAAGCCCCAGTTACGCACTGGCTTGGCTCCAGCCTCTCAAGCCAGAAGGGAAAATCACCAGGGCTGGCCCACAGGTAGAGCGTCACCAGGCATCTCACAGTAGGACCTTATACCTACTGCAGAATGTGCTCCTGAGATGCTAACTTATTTTTTGCTCTCATTCCTTTAACTCTTATGCATTTCTTTAGTCCTACACTGTAAGGGCAGGATGATCTCATAAACTATTATACAATGGTGGGAAACAGGAATAACTGTCGCTATAGTTATGCAGGAATCACATGTAGAGCATTTATTTCCCTTATTTACTTATAGTTATAATTTGTACACATAGAATGAGAATGTCATGGGTATATGTGTGTGACCCATATGTGTGTTTGTGTCTACTCTTCCTGCCACTAGGCCATGTCTCTTTCTGGTTTTCTATGATAAGCATATCTGGTGGCCACAGAGATGAAAAACACTGTTGTCTCTTAATCAACAGAGGGAAAAGAACCACCCAAAAGAGGGTCTTCTGAGGAGTGAACCTGCAAAGCCCCACACCAGGCATGCTTGATCCCAGGGGTTGGGGCTGTCACTATCACTCAGAAAGGGGAGCAGAGTTGTCAGACCACAGAGGACTGAGGAAGTGCGGCTCCACACAGGTTACAGAGAGTGCGTGTGTGTAAGTGGCAGGGTGACATGGGCTGAGCCCAGGCGACGCTGTGGCTTGTCTGCCCTTGGGCCGCATCTATTCACTGGGCTCAAGCTCTGCAGGTAAAATTCCTCCACCTTCCTATGACAAGGCTCAGTCTTACAAACTTCACTCATCTCACTCAGGAAATCTGCTCCCAAGCTGCGTGAGTCTGGCCCACGTAGATGCAGGTGCTGTGGCTCAGGGAGGAGCAGCTCCAGGGCTGGAATGCCTGCCTGCTCTCTGGCTCTGTGTCCACGGTTGCCCCTCTTGCCCTCCCGCCTCAAGGGCCCCACAGACGCTGTTCTGTCTTCCAGTTCTCCTGTGCATTGCCTCTGGGGGCTGCATGGGCTTTTCTCTCCATCCTGGCAGGATGCTTGTGTGCTTCTTCCTAAGACGCAGGAGCAGTGAATACATGCCCCTGTGCACTCTTTAAGTGATGAGAAGAGAGGGCTGCTGTCACCCGCAATGAGGCCATCCAGACAAAGCCTCACTGTGGAAGACAACCCTAGCGATGTGTGAGGAGGGGGACACTTTCCTCTTATTCTAGCTTCTCCAACCCCTCTTTCATTTCCAAGAAGCTCTCTCCGTAATACCCCAGCCAGCGTGAAACCAATGCACATGGTAGCCCCAGCGTGTCAGTATGCGTGCATGAGTGTATGTGTGTGAAGGGGTGGATGTGTGTATGCTTAGGCTTGGTTTGGCAAATGCAAAACCAAATAAGAAATAGTTGCCTTAAAAAAAAAGAAATAGTTGCCTTAATTCTAACTCACTTCAAATGAGTCGGTGCAGGAACATGGAGGAAGACTGAAACGTGAACATTTTCATGGAAAGTCATTTTCTCTTCCTCATAAGAAGTCCCAACTTTTGCAGAATTTTATTCTGAGTTTGGCCTCCAACATTCTATGTGGAGGGTGAGCTGTCAGTCAATTCAGATGTGCTGGAGTTTGCAAGGGAGGCTGGGGTTTGCGTGCGGCCACACTCGCTCATACACGAGGCGCTGTAGCGAAGTGCACCAGGCGCCGTGTGCTGCTTCTGGGTGAGACGGCGTAATGCACTGCTCAGTTCTAGGTTACTGGCAGGTGTGACATTCAGCACACGCCGCGCCTTTGGGCAGGTCATGGAGGGTGTGTCTTCTGGGCACACGCACGCTCTTCATATACCAAATTCTACATCCTCCCTTATTTCCTGAGCACATTGACAATTTTCCTTACTGCTTCTTTCAACTCTGAAAAATATAAGACTTTTCTCAACAGGGTGTCTAGCCAGATGCTGGCAGGAGGACAATCCTTACTCCACTGTTCCCTTAGAGGCTTCCTTTAGGCAAAATGTGACCAGCCCACCAAAAATAGCATTAGATTTCTGGCTGGCATGTTTCCCCAGAGCTATCTCTCACTGTCTTAGCGACGCTGGACTTCAAGAAATATGGGGCTGGGAAGGGAGGTGGCGATGGATGCTGACTCAGGCAGTTCCAGGAAAGCACCGCGGCTCCTGCACTCTTAGGCCGCCCCAGTGGACCGGGCCAGGCGTGCCCTGCACACTTCCTGAGCAGGCCCTGGGAATGCCGCCCCCTGGGACATGGTGTACGCAGCGCAGCTACTGTGGTTTCCTCCTCTGTCCCCTCTGCCTTGTGTTCCCTTCTATCAGGTTCTTCTCAACCTTTCTTATCTAGCTTGAAACCACTGTAGCATCTCGAGGCCGTAAAGCACGGCCTCGTGTGTGGCCACCTCGCTCTTCTCCTTGCTGTCCAATTTATTTTCATCATCAAGAAGCCCCTTCGCACTGCCATGCCTTGTAGCCTGGACCGTGCCTTAGCTCTCTGGCCACCTTCCCTGGTTCACGGCCCCAACATGGTGTAATCAGCTCCCGCAGTAGAGGAGAGGTGAGGTGTTGTGCAGGAACGTAGTGCGACGCAGGACAGTCCACCAACTGCTTGCTCCAGGGGGGCTTCAAGTGAGCTGCTTGCCCTCAGAGGAGGCTGTGGATGCAGCAAGAATTGCACTGATTCCTGGAAGTGCTGGTTCCCGGTGTGTGGTTGGATTACCCATTGCCTGGGCTAATTTCGCTGTTTGGTCCACAACCTGAATTCTTCCCACAGCTTTAACTGGCCCCAAGGGAAGTACATGCAACAGGGTTTTGATTCACAATCAATAACAGAGAAGCAAAATATTCTCTTCGAAAAGATAAGATGGTCACAGGGCGAAAGCCTGGGGGTATTAGGATCTAGCCTGCAGACCACCAGGAGAGGATAAGGACCAGCAGAAGCTTGGTCCAGAGCTGCACAGTGAGGCGTGCGGCGTAGTGCACCTTTAACACTTCATGGAGAAACAAGGAACTCAGTTCTAACCAAATTGGTTCATCCCAAACATTGGTTCTGTCTGTACTACAAAGATAAGAACTCCAGCAGACCAGGGGACCAACCAAAGCCTGACGGCAAGCGCTTGCTCACAAACCCGAGGTTCTGCAACACCAACAGGCCTGGCATAATTTCATAGGGATTAAAGTTTGGATGATGACATCGCAGTGTATCACGTACTTGACAATTTCCAAGGGAATAGACTGTAACTGTTCTCGCCGCAGAAAGTTATGTGAGAGAGAGCCGTGTGAGCACCTCCATCTACCTGCGCCACAGCGTGTATGTATTCCAAGACGCTAAGTGGCAGTAGTATTCACTCCTTTTTGTTTCGTTTTGCCTTTTGAGACAGGGTCATCCTAGGTCAGGCAGGCTGGCCTTGAACTCGCGGCGGTCTTCTTGCCTCAGCCTCCCAAGCTTGGAGCGCACAGGCGCGCGCCACCACGCCCAGCGCTGCGTCGATTTGCTGCATCCCGCAGGCTGCGGGTGTGCTGGGAAAGGCGCGCCCGTGCTCGCGGGGAGGCCTGGGGCGGGTCCCTCGGGCGCGTGTGCCGCACTGACCTCGCCTGCTCTCTGTTGCAGGATCACCACCACCGCGGCGTGCATGATGGACCTCAGGCGGTACCCGCTGGACGAGCAGAACTGCACCCTGGAAATCGAGAGCTGTGTGTATCTGCGTGTGGGCTCCCCTGCTTGCACTTTGCGTTTTGGTTCTTCTTGTTACTTAGCAGATTTCCCAGGGCACTGATAATGCTCTCAACATACATTTTTAACTATCTTAAAAATTAGAGGTTTAACTCCAGCTTGTAAATTTCAGTCTCGTAAGGAGGGAGAGGAGCAGAGATTTAGACGGAGACAGACTCAGACAGAGAGAGAGAGAGACAGGAAAGAGGAGAGGAAGAAGCAGAAAGAAACAGAAACACGAGAAAGAGAGACAGTGAGAGAGACACATTCAGAACAAACGAGTTCTTCCTTGAAATCTGATTAAGCGAGCCCTCTTGCTAGGCTGAGCTGTAAGAAAATAAATGCTCCCCATCTCAGTCCATTCAGCAAGAAGATGGAAAACACGAGCCGCAATTTTGTTACAATATGCTTCATCATGCATGAGTGGCCCCGCCACTGGGACCCTGGGCGGTCAGAGTGAAGATCATTTTCCATCAGGAGCTTGGCGCTCCAGCAGGCCGTTCTGCATCTTGGCAATTTTCTTCAATTTGAGGAGTGTTCAGGTGCTAATTCGCTCTTGAGTGCTTCTGCAGGAGGGACAAGGGCTGTGTGCCGACCAGCTAAGAGGCAGCTGCCCCTCCTGCTGCTGAGCCACACCTCCCGAGTTGTCGGTTTTGTTGCTGATCTTAACCTGCTGCACACCGGCTTACTGTGGGCCAGTTGGGTTCACCCTTAACAGTGTTCATCTGAAGTCTTGGCACTCAGGTGGCCTGGCCTCTGCAGTGTCACCTGACACAGTTGGGAGGAGGACAAGTCCCCCACACATGTACATGCTATGGGTGGCCCTGGCGGAGGCTGTGTCCAGGCCTGGGCTGGAGCTGGCCACACTGCCCGTCCCTCTCACACTGTGCCACTGTCCTGTGTTCTAAGCGCTCACTTCTAAGAAGAGGGAAGCAAACCGTGAAGTACATAATTGAAACATCTGGGAACATTTACCCTGGAGAACGAAGGCTCTGGGGAGAGCTGGTGACAGGTGAAAGGCTTGCTGGGACTTGGGCAGGCTCACTTCCTCAGCTGGCCACGGGCACAGCTCCAGTGAGACTTCAGGGTCTCGTAAGGAAATGGGGCCTGTTTCGACTGCCTGAACTCATAGCAGCCTCTGAGAGGGTGGCTTCTGAGGACGGAGATGCGTGCTGTGGAGGACAGGCAGCAGGAGGTCTTCCGCTGAGTGAGGCCCTCACCCTGCCTGAAGTCCACGCCTCGAATGTTTGCATGAAAACAGGCTTTCTCCCAATTTTTCCTGGGGCTCCTGAGGTCTTCATGTCTCTGCAGTGGGCACTGGGATTAGAAAGGTGTGGCTTTATTTTCTAGTACGAGGGCAAATTTGCTGCTGCAGGAAATTATCCAGCAGGTGCTTGCCGGATCTCAGCTCCATGCAGACTTTGTTTTGTTTCCCTTGCTGGGTGTCCAGCCCAAGGCTTTGTGCTATGCAGGCTCAGTGGTAAGTTCCAGGCTGGAGGGCAAAGCCAAACAGAATGCGTGCCTGCATGGTGCTTGTGCTCCAGGAAGGCGGCAGCCAGCCCAAAATGAGGAACCACAGAGGGTTCAGAGGAAATAAGGCCCGACGGAGGAGCTGGGAGACTGCTCGGAGCTGCAGCCTCAGGCAGGGCTTCTGGGGGAACACCTCAAGGGTCTAGATGAAAAAGGTGGGGAAGAGTGAGCCTAGGGAAGATCTGAGTCAGCTCTGCGGGAGGCACACGGCCGGTCCTGTAGGTTCGCAAGGTCCGAGGACTGATTTTGCCAGGTGGAGCGGGTATGGCACCCCCATCTGCACGGTCAGGATCAGGACAGCCACGGCTGCCCTGCAGCCCACCCCTTCGCCTGCTGCCAAATACTTGGAATGTCCACGTTTTTTCAGATACACTGAAGTGCAGCAGTCTGTCATACCAAAGACATCTTCAACTTTACGTGCTCACTTATCTTAGCTTCAAATGCTGACCTGATTCTCAGAGACCTCTGGCTCGCACAGATAACGTGGGTTGTCTGTGTTGTCCTGTGTCTCGGCTACTCTTCTCTCCTTGCAGGCACAAATACTTGCCACCCAAAATGAAGGAAGGAAAGGTTTACTTAGCTCACAGTTACTGAAGGTTTCAGTCCACACTCAGCTGGGTCCCAGGCAGAGTGGCACATTTCAGAGAGCAACCTTTCATGGCAGCCACAAAGAGCAGAGAGCAAAGGGAGGGGCAGCAGCAACAGAGAGCAAGTCTATCTCCCTTAGGCTGCATTCAGGCGATCCTCCCCAGGCTGGGGGTAGCACTCAGACCCATAATCCCAGCAGCACTCACACTCCCAATCCCAGTGGATGACAAACTGGAGAACTCCGCCCTATCACTGCAGGAGGCTTTGGGGTGACCCCTAGACACCAACCGCAACATCCTGGCTGTGCATGCATCCTCAGGAAGTACAGGCTTAGCTGCTGAGCAAGCTGAGCACGGTGCTGGGAGCTGGCTGGGAGGCCAGCCTGGCTGATCTCCACTCCCTTTCTGATGGCAGCAGGGCCCAGCTTCAGGGCCGGGATGTCCCACCCCATGGGACCCTTTGAGCATGCGAGGAACCCCTGCTTTCGTTGTGAGAGCTGTGTGCTTGTCCACAGACCGGCCCTAGACTCATCTCACAACTTTCAGACAGCTCTCGGGGGCTGCGCTCCAGATTCTCCGTATCCACACTCTGCTCTCCTCTGCCCACCACCGCAGCCCTTGCTGTTAGGATGCGTGGTCAGCGCACTGCTGCAGGCCGTCTGGGCCAGTGCTGGGCTGTCCTTTGCAAGCCAGACTCTGGGCCAGCCCAGCCCAGCACGAGCCAGAGGGTGAGCGGCGCACGTGCGTGTGCGAGGGAGCCCTCTGACGATGCTTTTCACAGATGAGTGCCTCCCTCAGGACTCCCACATCAGGCAAAGCCATTCCTTCTGATTTATTGAAGAGGTTTTTGGCCGTGCGTTTATAAAGAAGGACAACAACTCACGTCCACGGTGTCCCTGCTTTTCTTTCCCGGTAGATGGCTACACCACAGACGACATTGAGTTTTACTGGCGAGGTGGGGACAAGGCCGTCACCGGAGTGGAGCGGATCGAGCTCCCACAGTTCTCCATCGTGGAGCACCGACTCGTCTCAAGGAACGTTGTCTTTGCCACAGGTGAGCCAGGCATCCACGTCCTGCCGCAGGAGGGCCCTGCTGGGCAAGCGTGATGGTCTCCGTGGTTCTGTGGCCGCTCAGAGAGGCACCGTGGTCATCACTCCCCATCACGCCAACCCTTTCTTGCAAGTCTAAAGGGGATCAAGAAGCTTGCATGGGTAGGAAGGACTCCCAGAGTGAGGAACCCTGCGGGGGGCGGGGGGGGGGTCCCTAAAGTGAAGAGAAAGGTCGTGAATCTGGCCACATTTGAAAATGCCCTCAGGCTTAATGGGCTGCTGGCAGGGTGGGAGAGGAAGAAGGCTGAGGCGAGGTGGGGTCCTCCCAGAGTGGCCACCTCCCCTGACTCCAGCTGGAAGTCAGCCCTGATGTCAGGCAGGAAGGCTGTCACAGCTAGGCTTACCCTTAGACACGGCCATGGTCACCGTCTGATAGGTGAGGGTTGCCCTGGACTGGGGCAATGACTTCCTGTCATACCTTCTTCAGTTATTAAAAAGTAAGAGAGCGCCTTCTGCTCTTCTTGCTGGGCTGTTCACAGTTGCAGGGGTGTGTATTAGATGGCCTTGCTGTGCCTGCTTCGTAGCTTTGTCTTCTTCTCCCTGAGCACTGTGCCTGGCTGGCGCTTTGTGAGTGCCAAGGTGTCGCCAAGTCCACAGACTCGGGATGACAGTCATAAGGGCAGCCGGAGCTACTC